AATCCACATACCAACTGCTAAGTAGACAGAGATGAGGAGATTTGGCTATGGTGAGCCAATTGACCTAGCTAATCTTTTCTGGTTCCAGGGATTTGAGTAACAGATTTATTATACATCATTGAAGATTTGAAGGTGAAATTTACGTATCATAAGACACTATCTTAGTAATTTAGCATGGAGAATGATTTAAAAATAATTGATTTAACAACATTGTAAATTAAAAGTTGAGTGTTTTGCTTGTAAAGACATGGGCCAAATATAAGCAAGATGAGTATATAGTAAATAAATTACTTCAGTATCTATTAAGCAAACCAGATGGTAGATGTTTATTGGATAAATGTATGTTTTAAAAATGTTCTTTTTAATAACCACAACAATGTAGTGATATCGTTTAGGATGTCATGGCAAACTGAAGCAAATTGTATTTCCAAGTTGCTTGCACCAAAAATTATAATAAACATTATCCCCTGAAAACCTCAAAATCAGTATCCAAAATGAAGACATCACATATAATTTTAACTCAAATATATTTGTCCCAGGTAAATGAACTCATTGTTACAGAAATTATATGTCTTCACAGTGAGAAATCTCTTCTCACACTTGAGATTAATGCAGGGAAGACCCTTTAATAGCACTTGACTGGCTCTGGCGAAAGCTCAAAGAGCAACATCTTTGAATAAAATATTCTTCTTTTATTTAGGCATATGCATTTTATATATGCTTTTGTGAGGTCCCATCCTCATTCTACAGACACACTTTGAACAATAAATAAGATACAGCAAGTCTGGCCATTTGGGCAAATGAAGGATTTACAAGGCAAACATATTTCTTAATTTCAGAAGTATTGCTTTCATTTTTTACTCTTTTTTAATTACTTTATAAATAATACCAATCAAAATTCCCACTTCCTCCCCTCCTCCCACTTCCCTCCTGCTCCACCACAACCCTTTCTCCACCCCCTCCAGTCCTAAGAAAGGGCAAGGCACCCTGCCCTGTGGGAAGTCCAAGGCCCGCCCCACTACATCCAGGCTTAGGAAGGTATGCAACCAAAGAGAATAGGATCCCCCAAAGCCAGTACATGCAGTAGAAACAAATCCCAGTGCCATTATCATTGGCCCCTCAGTCTGCCCCAATTGTCAACCACATTCAGAAGGTACAGTTTGATCCCATGCTCGTTCATTTCCATTCCAGCTAGAAAATCAGAGAAACATCACCTTTCACAATAGCCACAAATAGCATAAAATATCTTGGGGTAACACTAACCAAGGAGACAAAAGACCTATTTGACAAGAACTTTAAGTCTTTGAAGAAAGAAATTGAAGAGGACACCAGAAAATGAAAAGATCTCCCATGCTCTTGGATTGGTAGGATCAACATAGTAAAAATGGCAATCCCACCAAAGACAATCTATAGATTCAATGCAATCCCCATCAAAATCCCAACAAAATTCTTCACAGACCTTGAGAGAACAACTTTATATGGAAAAATGAAAAAAAAAAACCCAGGATAGCCAAAACAATCCTATACAATAAAGGAACTTCTGGAGGCATTACCATCTCTCACATCAAACTCTATTACAGAGTTACAGTAATGAAAATAGCTTGATATTGAGATAAAAACAGAGACATTGACCAATGGAATTGAATCAAAGACTCAAATATTAATCCACAAACGTATGAACACCTGATTTTTGACAAAGAAGCTAAAATTATAGAATGGAAGAAAGAAAGCATCTTCAACAAATGGTGCTGGTATAACTGGATGTCAACTAGACATTAAAATTATAAATAATCCAATTAAAAAATTAGAAATATTTCTTAACTACACCAATATTGTTCTTTCTCAATAGTTGTTACCTGTAGGAGAAAATGCAGGCATGACCTGGTGGCCAGCCTAGCTAGCACACTGCACTTCTACATAAGAAACAAGGCCCATCCTACTTCATGTTCCGGCTTGGTGGGAGCCTAGCCAGTTTGGATATTCACCTTCCTAGACATGGACGGAGGGGGGAGGACCTTGGACTTTCCAGAGGGCAGGGAACCCTGACTGCTCTTTGGATTGGAGAGGGAGGGGGAGAGGAG